ACCCCCTCGCTACTGCTCCTCGTGGCATGATTTAAATAGCTGCACTAACCACCTCGCAAATACACCGCGGTGCCCTTCTCGTACACGCCAACCACGAGTTGCGCAGCGGCGAGAGTGCCCACACGTACAGAATACACGGGACAGCACAACGCACATGCTCATAAGTTAACGTGCATGGCGAACGCGCACGCGCGGGCAAAATATACGCTCGTGCGTAAACACAAGACACCACACAACGCACAGGCTCACCAAACCATGCACTCCCCCCCCCCTTTCCTCCGTACTCACAGAGACAACACGACACGGTTTAATGTATGCTGGTGGTTTATTCTCTGTTTAATTAGAGTTAATCTACCCATGTCAGTGTGGACCAGCAGGACAGATCTAACCTATCTCTCCATGCTCTTTGGTTCTATTCGGTAGAGTCATGTAGATAAAAAAATAAAACAACAAAAATCACAACGTTTCGGCCACAACACAAGCGGCCTTCATCAGGTGAAGGGACCAGACTGTCTCGAAGACTGCGCAGTCTGATGAAGGCCACTTGTGTTGTGGCCGAAACGTCGTGATTTTTGTTTCATTTTTTTACCTACGTGACTTTACCGAATAGAACCAAAGAGCATGGATCCTTGCAGTCACGAAAGCTTCAAATCTAAAACTATCTCTGCATGGTCTAATACCCAAGTAGCCTGTCCTCTCTCTACTCACTCTCTCTATTAGAATTTCCCCTTTTACCGTACCTCTCGTCTTCGTACTTACGATCCGACCTCGTGGTGTTGGAGGTCGCGGAAAGACGAGGCTGCATGCGGCTTTTGCTGAGAACTGAATCTGGCTGCTCTACGACCCATCTCACGGACGTTCAAATAGCAGGAGACGATCACTCCTCGGTCCTCACTCCACAAGATCCCGGACAAAAAAAAGCCCTTGCTTCCCAATCCCACTTCTTTTTATGCTTTCAGCCCAAGCGCCGCCGATCCGCTGGTCCCTCATCCAATCAGGAACCCCCTCCCTGACGCCCCGCCCCCCATTGTTTAACCGAGTGCACGGTGTAGAGGTCCTAGAGGGCGTCCTCCTGGGCTACCGCTCCGACACACGTTGTGCCACGGCGAGGTCCCTGCGCATGTCGTGTACGCACCCTAAAGGTCAACCCATGCCGCCTCGCCCCCCCCCCCCCCCTCTGGCCTGCTTGTTGCGTGTGTACTTTTTGGCGGTTTCCTCAGTGCGGTTCTCAGTGATCCGCGGTGGCTGTGCAATTTTAAGTCACTCCACGGCGCCGCAGTGTCATTCGGCCTGGGAGGGGTTCTGCCAATTCCCTGGCCCTGAGAAACCGTGGAGCACTCCCACGAGGGGGCCCTCGGGTGAAAACTCAGGGGCACGTGACCCCCCCCCCACGAGGCCCTACGTGAGTGCACGTGTGTGTTTATGTTATCCGGCAAAACAACCCCCTACCTCCTCGCGGTGCCGGACGGGCAACTCTGTCGTGGACAGTGCTGTGGGGGGAGGTCCAATTCCGATTGGCTCCTCCCATCATGGCGTCTGTGACCACCACAGTGACTTAATGGGGGCTCTGGATGGGTGCAGGGAGCTGGTAACCCCTCCACCTTCAAAAATTTACCAATAAACCACGTATAAAATATCTGACTAATAAGCTTGTGCCGGAGGCCCCGGGGGGACAGGCGTCTATGACGTCTCCTGGCCAAACCCCAATTGGCGGAGCCAGGAGATTGAATCTCTACCCTTGGGGCTCCTCCAGAAACAACGAAAAGCCACTACGTGTGGCCACGTGGAATATTCGAATGCTCATTGCGGAGGAGAGGCTGGCACTCCTCTGTCAAGAGCTGTACCGGTACTGCCTGGATCTCTGTGGCATTCAGGAGGTCCAGTGGACCAGTTCTGGCTCCTGCCATCATGAGGGGTGGACAGTCCTCTACTCAGGGCAGCAGACTGTCAAACAACAGGGTGTGGCTCTTATGAACAAAAGAATGAAGGGGGCGTGAGAGTGTGGCGGTGAGGTGTGGGAAGCTGTAAGCCCCAGACTACTTTGGGCTCGCCTTCCCATTAATCGGAGGCGAGGAGTGGTGGTCGTGGTTACTTATGCCCCCACCGAAGACGAACATCCGTGGAGAGATGCAGGCAAAGCCGAGTCAGATGCCTTCTATAACCTCCTATCACAGGTACTGGCTAAAGTGGCCCCTCGGGATAGAGTCATCTTGTTGGGTGACTTCAATGCCCGAGTGGGTCATGATGCTGGCACCTGGTCTGGAGTGATTGGAGGGCATGGGCCAGATCAGCTCAATAACAACGGTAGGAGGCTGCTAGATTTTTGTGCAGCCCATGGGCTTGTAATTACCAATACGCTGTTCCGGCATCGGCGCATCCACACAACATCATGGATGCATGCCGGCTCCAAGCAAGAACATCTGCTGGACTACATAGTGACGGACCAGCGGATGCGAGCCCATGTCCTTGACACCAGGACCTACCATGGAGCTGATCTGCCCTCTGACCATCGAATTGTCATCTGTAAGATGCGCCTGCCATTCTTCCGCTCCGGTGGTGGGGTTGGCATCGTCTACACCTGCACACGCTTCTGCTGGTTCTGCTGCTGCTGCTGCTGCTGCCAATTTTGCTCCTGCTACTTGTGGTGTTCAACTGAGCCGCCTCTATGATGAGTGCTCCACCCCTCACGCCTTTGTCTTGGCCAGGATGGCCAGGACCGGTTTCAAAAATTATAATTTCTGCTTGTGATGGCTCTGGAGCAGAATGGACTACCCCTGCCCATACCTACAGCTTTCACTGTACTATTTAGCACAATTTTCTACGCAAGTTATATGACCCAAGGTACACCATGTACCCTACACGTGCGTTAGTAACCCTAATCGTAACCCCTGAAGCCTAACCCAAACCCTAATACAACCCAAAACCGTGTGAAAGTGTAACCCGAACCCGCATGTAACACTAATCCTTAACCATAACCCCTAAACCCTGCCTTGACTTAAGATTGGGAGACAAGCCTTTTGCCCGTCCAAGGACGGGGGTATTTCAGTAAATCTGAAACTTGCAAGTGAAAAGCAGACCGTGACGTGATATTCATTGCATCAATTCATGTGCAATTAGTAAGGCCGCGGTGACACAGACTTAGTTAATTTAAAGGTTATAATCCTAGATTTGAAGTTTTCATGACTGCAAGGATCCATACTCTTTGGTTCTTTCGGTAGAGTCACGTAGGTAAAAATTAAATAAAATTGAATAAAATAAAACAAAAATGAAAACAACAAAATTTAATCACGACGTTTCGGGCGCAACACAAGCGTCCGTCATCAGGTGGGGACAACCACAGTGAAAAAAAACAGCTTTGCGGACAGTACAGTCCGAGTATCCATTCATCTTAAGGGCCAGGCGTACGTGTTGCAATTCACTGGCGAGGAGACTCTGATCAAAACCATCACGTTGCCATACATAGCAGGCGTTACCAAAAAGATTTCCAAAATTCTAAACAAACACAAGATCCAGGTCCGATTCAGTACAGTACACAATCCGTGATCTGATCCCATCTGTAAAGGATGTCATCCCTGACTTACATTACCCTGGTGTCTATAAACTGAGTTGCATTTGTGGTGATTGTTACATTGGGGAAACGAAACGACATGTTTCTGACCGCATTCGCGAGCACAAGTCAGATTTGAAACACGGTAGGACGAATTATTCTGCCGTCGCTGATTATTGTTACAATGCTGTGGGTTCTCATGATATTGTTTTCTCTGATACCAAAGTGCTCTGCAAGCCATCTGGATACCACCAAAGATTTGTCCATGAAGCCATTCAGATATACAAACATAGACATAACTTCAACCGAGAAGATGGATTCAAATTGAGCAATCATTGGAAGGATGTTATTAACCAAGTTAAACTTTAGCTGCCTTATAGTTAATATTTATATCCGCATCTCCAGTTTTTTACTCCCAGCCCTGCCGACTCCCATCACTTCGAAATTTGCCGTGCAGTGCGTCGAGCCTGAAGAGTTCTCCCCCAACCCCCCACCCCCCCAACGTGTCACAGCAGTAGGCCGAGCCTTTGGACCATCCGCACCTCTCTCCTCCGGCCCACGCCCCGCCCTAACACACTCACCCTGGCTCCTCCCCCTTCAGCTATATAATCCCTTGTCAAAGCCATCTCTTTGGCATACTTCAGCGATTATTTTTTCGCTGTGGTTGTCCCCACCTGATGACGGACGCTTGTGTTGCGCCCGAAACGTCTTGATTTAATTTAGTTGTTTTCATTTTTTTTATTTAACTTTTTACCTACGTGACTTCAAAGAGTAAGGTTATAATCCCTTGTTCATAATTACGTCCTTTTTACTTCTGTCTCAATAGCGTTTTGGAGATCGCGTGACGTGAGGGTTCTGCCTTTGTAGTGAGGGTTGTGAGTTGACGCTGAGGAGGGGGGAGGAGGCGCCTCGCACCCCCCCCCCCCCCCCCATGTGGAGTGTTCATGAGTATTTATGAGGGGTGCTGTTCGATGTGGAGTGATGGCACATGCGCATGATCATTAATGAGGGGGGTGGGTGCTCCTTGTGGAGTGACGTCACCCGCTCATGATTATTAATGAGGGGGGCTGGTCGACGTGGATTGACGTCACGCGCGGGACACAGAGACATTCTTGGCTCATGATAGTAGTAAATGGGGGGTGTCCATTTGGAAGACGTCACCTCTTCATGATTATTAATGAGGGGGGCTAGCCGACGGAGTGACGTCACGCGCAGGCTCATTATAGTAGTAAATACTTTTTAAAAAATAAAAGTGTATCCACCACCGCTCTCGCTGCATACAAATATGCCACTCCTCCAGTTCTCGGGACTCTGCAGCGCAACAGAGGCACGGCTGCTTCACGTTGACTTCTCTCCATAATTTGGCCAAACAGGCAATCAGACAGACAGGTAGACATAGAAGCAGACAGACACTCACACAACAAGCAGACATTGATGTAGGTAGACATCGCCCAAGTGTAGAAAAGAGAGTCGTCTTTATTCCAGCCATGGACACGGCGGGGTACATGGGGACATGGTAACGCCGTTTAAAATTAAGAGATAAAATTCACATTCTGATCAAACACTCCAATAAATATATACAAACACGTGGCTTCTTTGTTACTGTTCTGCTCTCAACACAAATATAAAAAATGTATGCACTCGAGAAGCGGGCGCCTCCGTCTTGATACGCGAGAGTGAGGCTATTGAGACAAGGGCCACCAGGCGCCACCACCCGCACGCCCCACCCCCCGTATTGCACCCACACCCAGAGAAGGCAATGATAACGTCTGCATAATCTGCGCCCCGTCACCACAGGACGCGTGTCGTCCTCGGCTGCCGAACCCCGGCCATTCGCATGTCATCTCTGCTCCACCTCACCAGCAGCGCCACCAACTAACATCGCCAGTACCACCAGTAGCAACCATCAACACTGCCTGCTATAGCCGGTACTCGCCCGCATCATCAGCAGCAGCCTCACCCAGCAGCTCAGCCACACCGTAACTTTTGCACCACGACAATCATCCATCCGGCCCGGCGCAGAGGGCGACCACGCGTCTGCCTGTACCGGCAGCGCCACGACCCAAGCCCCACGGAGTGGTGGTGGTGGTAGAGACGGTGACTGCAAACCCCCTAGCCACGAGTCCCAGCGCGTTTGGTTTCGTGGAGATGAGAGGGATGAGGTGCGCGCTCTCCCGCCTGCGCCTCATCCGTGGAATGCTACAGTCGGAACCACTCATCAGTGTTGCGGATCGAGTACCGTATGTACATGCAAGTATTCAAGCAAAAAATAGTTTCTCTTATACGGCATCTGTAGCGACTACGTGGAGTGAGCCCCGCGCCAGGGCAGCACGTGCACCGATGCCCCACACAGCGCGGCCGGCGTCACTCACAGACACGGTTGCATCAAAAGGACATGCAACGCTACGGTGATTAAAGCCCTTAAAATGTGGCTGTTTATAATCATGCTCCACAACATGGATGTATAACGACAGCAATCATAATAAATGCAATCGCAGTCATATAAAACTGGCACGGTTCACGTCGTGCTGCGACAGACAGCAGCTCAGCTGCCACAGAGCTCGGAGTGTCTTCAGGGCAGCCTGAGTGGGCAGCAACTTCAGCACCGCCCCCCCCCCCATACCACCCCAAGTAGACAGCACTCTTAGGTCTCCCCCCCACCCAACCTACGGGGCCCTGTATCCAATCAAGACGGCTTCACTCGAAAGTGTAGTTGGTGCAACCGCACATTTACAACACTCAATGATTTGGTGAGACGGGCCACAATCTGTCCAACTTAAAAGAAGCAGGAGGATTATGCCGGCACTCATTTCCCAGTACCAAACACGAACACCTACATCTCTTTTTCCACACCGCATATTAAGTCCGCACGCCGTCCAGCACGGACAAGATCGCACCCTGTGCCACGCGTGTACACATACCTCCATCTATGTGCCACTACAAGTATACGCATACTGGCCCCGCACAGATAGGAGAGGCAGTGCATTGCCCCGTCTATCGCCTCGTGGTGCACACACTGATGATACATCTCACATGGGTTACTTCCCTTGCTGGGACAGGGAGCCCTCGTGATATGAGCAGTCAGTGGGCAGTGAGGCCTGGCAGTGTGGATAAAGGAGAGGCTGGGGAGAGAATGCAGTGTGAGGACTTCTGGAGGGACAGTGGGTGAGGGAGTCTCGGAAATGTGACGTCAGGCAAACTGCAATGCCACTTGGATGATTGCTGCACATCAGGGGATGCGTATATGTATGTGTTTGCATGTGTGCACTCCCTGGTGTGTCCAGCGCCAGAGGCAGGACAATATCTTAGGGTTGCCCACCCCCTGTCCCCACCATGATGTCCTCCCACCTGCAACCCGTGTGTTGCTGTGGTTACGACAGATGGTGCGGTGGGCCCAGTGGGCCCAGCACCGCCTGGGGAGCCAGCACAGAGTTTCACGTTCCCTGACCCCGTACCCCTCGCTATGATCTTGCAAACGTGGGTGCGGTGGAGCTCTCCAGCGAGGATTGCGATGGACGCCGGGTGAGTGGCGCGAAGGTGGGATCCACCAGCGAGGAGGTGGGAAAGAGCTTGTACCAGCCGGTCACACTCCGACTGAGGTCAACGTCCTCGAGGAGGATCTGGGCCACCCCCATGAAGGACTTGTGGTCCATACGGCCATAGTCACCCCACACAATGACCTGGACACAAAAATAAAACCTTGAGTGACACTGATTTTAGATCTGATGAGAGGAAGTCGCCCACACTCGCACATGCAGAGGAGGTCAGGGAGACAGAGAGCCACGGCCATAATAATCACCCCCTGTGGATTTACTCCATGCCATGGCCTGTGGACTCACAATTGTACTCACGCATGCGCACACAAAAGACAAAGATCCCCTTTATAGCTTTTAACAGAGTGTTGGGGTAAGTGCTGTTAGTGAGCACCTATGAAAGCCCACACAGCACACGATGGGGTGGGTGACCAGCACCACACCTGGCCAAATTTGTTTCTACAGTGGTGATGTTTACACTCTGCACCAGATATTCACTGAGTCGACCTCGGGTAGGCCCAGAACCGGTTGAGATAATCGTCACTGGTATTGACCATAAATGCGCTAACTACTATGCTACCGCTTCCTACATACAAAGACACACGCATGCATCTAAACAGAGGCATGTTTACACACATATGCAGACGTGAATAAAATAATGTTCACATTTATATTGCACCCATGATGTAGTGAAGCATCTCAGAGGACAGCTGTTTTAAGCATAGGGAACCACCAGTGGCAACTTTTCCTTGTGCGGTACAAGGCCTGCAAGTGAGCATTATTATGCAAGCAGGGGGGATGATCGCCATGTGAACGCCTGTACACGGGAGCTCACACACCCACTCACACGCGCGCAGGGCTCCGTATGCGCTGTAGTGGTGAAGCTCGTGAATGGCCCTTCACCTGCAGGACCTTGTTCTGGGCACCCTCATCGAACAGTAGCTGCTGGCCATAGGAGGGATCCAGCGACTTGCTGGCGACCTTGGTTTTCTTTTTAGCGATGCACACTCCACCCTCCAGCAGGTACACCTTCACATAGGGGGCTACGCACGTACCACCACAAGCACACCAGAGCAGAGGTGAACTCCCAACGAGACAAAAATCCCCCGCATAGCCATGTAGGCAGTCAGGGCAAGTGCTCTCAATGAGCCGCCTATGAAGGCCAACACAGCACAAGAGGGGATAGTGTGGCAAGCACCCACCCGGCCGCCTTTGTCTCCCTAGTGGTGATATTTACACACCTTTCTCGGTACTTAATTAAGGCTGAGTCGGCCTGGTCAATATATTCGACGCTGATGTAGGCCGTAAATGCGAATCGAACTCAGGTTGCCGCATTCGTAGCAGAGTGCACTAACCACTACACAACTGCTACCCACAGACAAAAACATACAAAGACCCCCTATATAGCCTTAAGAGACTGTTCAGGCAAGCCAACAAAGCACACAAGCAGGTGGTTTGGCCAAGACCACGCCCAGCACCCTTGTCTTCCCAGTGCTGATGTTTACACAATGCACCAGGAACTCGTTTGAGACTGAGTCAACTTAGGGAAGGCCCAGGACCGGTTCAAATATCGCCACTGTTATTGATTATGAGCATGAATCAAACTCAGGCGTGTGCTCCCCACACACGAATGCACTCTCACACATATTCTCTGTGGATAATATGTGTGCAGACATGCACGAGTGGTTGTGAGCACCTGGAATGGACTTGCAACCCGGCTTGGGGATAAGTCCTCGCGCTTTCACCACCTCCACCTCCAGCTGCCCCCGTCGGCTGATCATCGTCAGCTGGATGTCGCCTGGCAAAACAACGGTGGCACCCATTTGTGACACACAGCGCCGACGCTCGTCCTTATCAGCACAACACCCCGACACTCTTGACCTTGTTTCACCAGCAGCACATTGCAGCTGCGCATGATCACAGATGAACAGGTGGGACCTCGGTGTCTTGAGATGACAATCCTCACCTCCACGTGGCCCGGACACAGCTACAAGTTCTACACACGTACTCTTCCAGCGCAGCAGCCACGGCAGAACTCGACCGCATTGGTCGCCGGCGTGGACCCTCTACAACAGTATGCGGGGTTTCTCCCTGGAGCGCAGCGGTAGAAGTGGCCTGATATATGGTGCTATACGGGCACTTCTCAGTACACCGAGTGTGAATACCATTTGTTAGGAGGGTTTCCATACCCCCACCGAGACGTTCCGCTTATGAGAACCGGCATTGAACACGGGCTGCAAGACGAACAGGTTTCATGCGAGGGCTTCTACACTGACATTTTGACCACTGCTTTAACCAATATGCAAATAACGTGGAACCCATTACTACTGTAGTGTTGTACTCACATGGACACTCTTAACTTTTCACCTGTGTCACTTTATTTACCTTGCATCCAGTGTGGATGCTCCTCACTTACACGAACACCCTTGTTCCGAACTCCCCGACTTCCCCCTACTCACCTCCGCGCACCTCGTGCACGGTAACCACTCTGTCTCCCCCGCTCTCTCTCTCACTCTATACTCCGCTGTCCTGTCCTGCTTCCCTCACACCACCGCCCTCATCCCTGCCCCCAGCAGGGGATCAGTCAACACTGCTGGGGAGGACGAGGTGAGGAGGGCGAGGTCTCTGGCGTCTTCTCCCCGACTCTTGTGTTCTTCATCCCTTGAGCACCAACCCCGTGTTGCTCCGCACACTCCCTTATATATCCCTCCTCATTTCGAGTCCTCACTTACCCCCCATTAAGCTACCGCCTCCACGGCGTCTCCTGCACGGGCTATCCCCAAATTATCCCTCCATCTCCCGCCTCTCTGGCGCCTACCCCGTGCCCCAACGCTCACACCTGCTTGTCTCCATTTGCACCCGCTCAATCTATGCTTCGGCCCCTAATTGCTGCCACGCCATTCCAGTGTCACCTCACATCACCCTTTGCTAACCCCACGCGTTACGTCACTACACTATTATTATGATGATGCTAGTTTATCCAGGAAAGCCTCACCGAGTCACACAACTCTTTAATAGGAGGGCCCTACCAAGGGTTTTTTTGGAGAAGGGGGCGATCTTACTGTGTGCGATGCCTATTGAGTAATTTGCAGGTACTTTTTTTCTGAATGATGACGTTTGAATGTGTGTTTAGCTATGGGAGGAAACAGGAAAAGCTGGAGAAAACCCATGCAGAACAGGGGGAAAACATACAAACTCCACACAGACAGATGCCTGAGTAGGGAATCGAACCAAGGGAATTCTTGTTGTGAGGCACAAAAGTTACCACTGCACCACCACCCTCGTGCCTGGTAAACTATGACGTGAATTATTGGGGTGAAATGGGAACTGTGGGTCGAAAGCGCCCCCCTCCCCACCCCCAGTGTGCATGGTACCCAGGGGTGTGGTGGCCAGGGTCTGCCGCCCGACCAGCTGCCCTGGCCCCAACCCATCCAGGAAGTCGCTGAACTGGCTGTCGTGGTCAAGTCGCACGCCAGGGAATATCAGGCTGCACACACAGACACAAAGACAAAGTTCCCCCATATAGCTTTTAACAGACTTTTGGGGTAAGTGCTGTTAGTGAGTAGCACCTATGAAGGCCGACATGGCACACGAGGGGGTAGGTGGCCAGCACCATGCCTGGCTGCCTTTGTTCCCATAATAACGATGTTTAACACATCAGTGCACAAACAACCTGGTGAGCAGATGGGTGAGCATGCTGGTGAGCGGACGGGTGAGCACGCTGGTGAGTGGACGGGTGAACATGGTACTGAGTAGACGAGTGAGCATGCTGGTGAGCAGACGGGTAACCATGCTGTCGAGTGGACGGGTGAGCATGCTGGTAAGTGGACAGGTGAACACGCTGATGAGCTCCGTCCTTACTTTCCCTCCGAACTGTAGGAGTTCATGCTGTCATCATTTGACCCTCGGCTCGCCTGCCGCGTCATCCAGTTCCGCATCTCGATGGCCATTCCTGTCTCCGTGCTGCGTCGCACGGCGCTGCGCAGCTTCTTCCCACTCGCGTCTGTCACACAAACACGCACACATACACACCCACCATTCCCATCAAACGCACCATTCCCGCCACACCCACCATGCCCGCCACGGCCATCATTCTCACCACACCCACCATGCCCGCCACACCCACCATGTGCTCCACACCCACCATGCCCACCGTGCCCACCATGCCCACCGGTCTGAGACAGTTGTGATGTGCTGCGGCTGCGCCGTGACAGCCCCACGATGGCCACCATCTTGGCGCCGAAGGAGGAGCGCCGCGTCTTGGGGGCTGTGTCCGCGGCTGTGCCAAGGCCCGTGTCAGATTGGCTGCCATCGGCGCGCTCCGCCCGGTACATCTCGCCGCTCACACTCGAACTCTTGGGCATGCGGCGCCCGCCCGACGCTCCAACCTGCCGACTTTGCATTTTAGACATAAACATGCTGTGACCGGCATGGGGCACGGCGGGTGGGGCAGGGGATGGGGGGAGGATGGTGAGGGGTGGGTGAGGTGAGGAACACAGGGGAAGAGCAGGGAGGAGAAGAGTAAAGCAGAGCGAAGAGGCAGGACACCCGCAGCACCACATCGCACACACTCCCACGCAGCCTGCAACTACCTTCGCTCGAAATACACAAGAGATAGGCATAGGGATTACACAGGGCATGGGGGCTACACTGAGCATAGCGACTACACATGGCATAGAGACTATACAGGGCACATCAGTAAAACAGGGCTGGAAGCATTTGGCACTACGTGGTGGAGCGCTCGTATCGCTTGTAGGGCCTGTGACCGCTCATCTCGTGAGAACACCCTGGCCAGGGGTCGCACAGGGAAGTGTTTGTCTGAGATGATGCAAGTTGCACCGCAGGCGTCTGAGACACTTTGGAGACAGCAGTCAGGAGAGAGTCTATCTCAACGATCTCCTCTATGAGGCCACCCCCATTTCCGTCACCATCGCTGAGTTTGAAAACAATGACTGATTAATTATCGGTTACCTGAGCCGAGCCGCTGCACGCTCATTCCACAATGATAACTCGAGAAACTCACCAGCGCAGGGAGGACCAGGAAAAGTCAGGGTGAGCGAAAAGAGAATAAATCAACACAAGCTCAGCGTGAACACAAAAGGTGGTAAAAGCATGGACGCTGAGGCGTGGGATGGGAAAAACGCACGCGCAGATGGGGTCGCGTGCATGACACGGGACTGGGCTACTAGGGTCTGTGTGGAGCAGTAGACAAGACCTGTGCCCACAGCGCGAGGTAGCCACCAGCAAGACAGGTGGATACTACAGGTAAAAGCTGGGGGTAGTAGGTGATAGCTAGGCAAGGTGGTAGTTACCTGTCCTCCGCCTCTGGACCAGACTGTGTGCCCCCTTCATCCCCCTCGCCATCCCCATCCTCCTCCTCCTCCTCCCCCTCGCCCTCCCCATCGCCCTCCCCCTCAGCCTCCCCGTCTCCCCATGTGCACGTCCCCACCATGCCCTCCCTCCCTTCTGTTTCACCGCCACTCTGAGTGCCTCTAGCGCGACGCGTTCAGCGAGACACAGACACCAGCATACACGCACACACGCATGCACACACACGCACACAAGCGCATGCAGATGACCAGCGCAATGTGCAAAAAAAACACAGCCACCGAGAAAAACATGCCAAACGCACACAGCAGCCATGAACTAAGTCACAGGAACTTTTAGTAAACAAAAAGCAAATAATTATCCAAGCACTCAGCAGGCATGATTGCAAATCCGGACGAGTGAAAGACAGAGAAGACTGCCTGCAGAGGTGGGGTTACTCCACGGAGAGGCCCCGCCACGGCCCTGTGGGTACCTGATGTTGCGGGTGCCCCGCGGGCGCTCCGATTGCACCGACAGGTAGGTGGTGGTGCTGACGCGGGACAGGCTCGACGTCTGCGATGCGGCCGACACGTCGCTCACGTCGCTGTCCGAAGACTTGCGTGATGTGATGTCAGAACCAAGCCTCTTGTCTCTCGGGCCGTGGTGCTGTAAAGACAAGGACACAGATCCCGCCCGCATAGCCCTTAACTGGCTGTTGGGCCAAGGGCTGTTAGCGGCACCTACGAAGTCCGGCACAGCACACGAGGGGGTGGTGTGCTCAGAATCACGTTCTCAATGTTGATGTTTTACGCACCGCACCAGATACTCGTTTAAAGCTGATTCGACCTAGAGGAGGTCCAGGACCAGTTCAGTTTATTATAATTAGTTTATTATGGGTTAGATCATGGAGGTATAATGTCAATGTTGAACTATAACCCTCCACCACACCAGATAGAGCCAATCAAATTAAGTTGTCACGTCGTGGGCAGCAAATGCTTCAATTGGTTTAGTTTATCAGCAGACATAGGAGGAGGAACGTTGAAAAGTGAGCAAATTGCTGTCAATTTTTATTCGCCGTTTTGCTGGAGATCACTCCCAGCATCGCCAGGTATGAGGAATTAGCGACACAGGTAATTTCCTTCAGTTCAGTTCATTTATTAGGTATAGCCCTGTGAGCCATACGGCTGTAGTGTTTCTAAAGACGAATAAACTTCTTAGAAGGCACACTCTGTTTATTGTAATTCCTTCCTTATACAGTCCTTAACACACAGAGGGGTATCTGGTCCCCTCACCCGATACCCTAAGGAGGTACAGCCTCCGGACTCAGCGTAACCTACACACAGGTCTCCTTGATACCTAAGGAGGTACAGCCTCCTAGCTTGGTGGGACTTGCACGTCTACCGCTACCCTATCCCAGAGTCCTCCGGCTGGGACCTAGGGGAGGCTATCTGACCCACCGCTGGCCGGGTGGGTCCTGACCACTGGATACGCCGAGCCTTAGCCCTCAGAAGGGCTGGAAGGCTGGTCCAGGGTCCTAGCTAGTCTTCAGCCCGGGCTTCGGTCTTCGTGTAGGGAGAGAACTCCCCGAGCTCTGCGTGGTCACCCTTCTTATATTCGTTTGTGGCCAGGTACAACCAATCCCACATTCCCACGTGGAACCGTCTTATTGGTTCTCCCCAAACCGTGGCTATGATCCACTTCACCTCGTCTGACCCCAACCGTTATGTACCCAGAGGTAATGCTGCACTGCCCCCTTGATACCTGGTGGCAATGCAGGTTACCGAACAGTGCGTAGTTAACACCTCTACATGGCTATTGAATCGGGTGCAATCGCAACAAACAAAAACATGAACAAGAAACATCTTAAAGTGACTACGCGCAACAGAAAAATCCAGGAAAAAACAGCAAAGTCTTCCAGAAAAAGCACCATATATCAATGCTGTGTGCAAAAATCCCAGTCGGATGCAAGTCAAACAATAACAACCATAAGACAATTTAGATAAAAGTTATCAGTCTAACTCTATACTACAACAAACAAATATGGCTAAACCAAAACGTTTTCGAAATCACCAAAATAAAACTATTAAAACAATGTAATAGTGATCATAGGAACTATGATTCAAATTTAACAATAAACTATATTCCGTACATAACATGTACGACCAAACTTTGTAGCCATAGCTGGCAGCATGAGTCACTCCATAACAGCAGGAAGATCAGTAGGAGGATCAACATTTTTCAAAGTGCTAATCCCCATAAGGCTGATTTATCCAACCCTATTAACCAATCAACACTTACCTCGAATCACAATAACGTTATAACTCCAACTTCACTACTAACACAATATACCTGAATATATAATTAAGGACAGCCGAGTTATATAAAATGCTAAGTATATTGACCGCATTACACTCATCTACCCTGCAAACTACAACCAATCAACCAGCAGTCAAGTCGCGTTGTCGGGCGGGATCGCATGCACGGCTGTCCTCGTGATAGCAAGGACCCTCCACTGAAGGACCCAGGATCAAGAAGCTCCCGTGAAGACCCGATGGATGACGTTGGATGTAATCTCCAGCAAAACGTCATGCAAAGTTGTCAAACATTTTCCTTGTTTTGGAACATTCCTCCTAAATCAATTGGTACATTTACCCAGGTAAGAATTTGATTTGATTGACTATCGGAGAGTGGAATGTTATTGTAAAATATGACATTATTCCCTAACGATCTGAACCAAAATAAACATTATGAATCATAATATCGGTCGTGAAAGCCAATGTGTAACATCCAGTTCAGACATTCGTCACCAAAGTTTGCTGTGAGCGGGAATTAAACACAGGCCGCCAAATTAATAATGTGGTGAGTGTGAGAGTAAATGTGATGGGAAAGGTGAGTGAGTATGAGCAACTGATTGAGTGTGAGAGTCACTCACCCTGTAGTGAGGGTCCCCTGCAGGGCCCCCATCAGTAAAGGATCCTGAGTGCCCCGGGGCCCCGGCCTGCAGGAACTTGCCTCCAATTTTCATTTTCATCGGCCGACCACGCTCCTCCGCCTCGACCATGGCAACCAGGCCTGAGAGACCAAGCCAGTACACACCACACCGGTACACACCACACCAGTGCATACCACACCAGTACACACCACACCGGTACACACCACACCAGTGCATACCACCCTAGTTCACACCATACCGCTCCACACCACACCAGTGTACTCCACATCGCTACACACCACACCAGTGCATACCACACCAGTGTACTCCACATCGCTAAACACCACACCAGTGTATACCACACCAGTGTACTCCACATCGCTACAAACCACACCGCATTAAAGGAAACACTACATGACAGGAGGAGCGACTATCCGAGCGATCGGAAGGACTACCCTGGGTGTGAGGGAAACTAGCTCGAGGCCACGCTATTCTAGCTACAATCCCTTGCTGTACCTTTCTCCTCCTTCCCCTCTTCCCCCTCCTCATGCCCCTCCTCATGCTCTTCCTCCTCTATTGAGCAGGAGTAAGAGTTGTGACATTGAGCGAACAGTCAGAGTGTGTGGTTATTGGTGTGTGGTTAGTTGGTTGTGGTGTGTAGTTAGTGGTGTGTGGTGCGGGATGGTTAGTGGTGTACGATGTTGTGTGTGGTATGTGGTGTTCGGTGTGTGGTTACTGGTGTGTAGTGCGTGCCGTGTGGTGTGCTGAGTGGTGTGTTGTGTAGGACACAGTGTGGTGGTTAGGGTTTTATGTGGTGAGTGGAGTGTGGTGTTGTGAGTTTTGTGAGGTGTGGTGAGCATAGTGAACGGCATGTTTTCTGTTACTCACCGCGACCATCTGTTGTTTTTGGGGGCAGTTGGGGCAGCTGCCTGACCCTGCGGCCTAGCGTAGGAGTGCTTCCCGGAGCAGCTGCCATTGGGCTGCTCTGGTGGTTCATCCTGTAGCGAGACAGGTCCCGGGGATGCACGGGAACACAAGCGACACAAAGGGACACGTAGGGTCATACAAAAACACAAGAAACAACGCAGAGACACGCAGAAACAAGCGGAGTCACACAGCAAGACAGTCAGTGTGGGACATGTGGGAATATGGTAATGGCAGAGACAGAGGCTACATCTTGATCCCTGGGAAAGGAATCGAACCAACTTGTCACCCCACAGCAATCATACTTCACTCATAAGGTACAGGGGACATCGAGCATGGTGTGTGGTCTCTACAGGACGAGAAGTGCTGTTTCTACAGGACTAGGCGTTCCGTCTTCAGTGGACCTGCACAGCACGTAGACTCATAGGAGCCGGTGACTACCGGGAGAGCCAGCTAAACGACCAAACTCTGTTACTACTGAGACAACTCTATGCCAGGGATTCATTACAGCCAGGTCTATTGGAGTCAGCATGCCTGGTACAACACATCCACCATAGCTCTAGCTACGCGCTTGGCCATGACAATCCCTAGTTACGTGCCATCTCTACCACTCGAGCAGCAACCCAGGAATTATTCTTAAATAAATTAATCCCTGGCAGCATGTGATGATAATCCTCGGCAATACCTTCCACTTGTGCGGCGCAGAGGCTGGAGCCGGCGCTGAGAGAGAGGATTTCGCACGTCAGCCGGCAGATGCCAACACTTGCGGGATTGGTCGCAAGTGTTGCCCAGGATGTGCTTACCTGGGAGCCACCCGGTCAGGGGTTTCATATCAAGCACGGGCCGGTGCGACTCCACCCTAGCGAGGAGGCCAAGAAGCCCAGGGAGGGGACTGTGTGACGGCTGACGAGGTGATCAACGTGATGGCTCTAAGAACAGCATGGTCACTGTCACCTCACCCGTGGCCCAAACCGACTCCTGCCGCAGTCAGGTGATGCCAGGTCAGACTACTGCCTAGCCAATGACCCGCAGCCCGCCTGATGGGAGACCCCCAATGCCCAGGTGCTGTGCTGCTCCTGGGTGGTCGGCGCGGAGGTCACACTCAGCAAGAAGGGCCTTGTGATTCATTCCTGACTCAATCGCCGTCTTTCTATGTGGAGTTTGGATGTTCTTAGCCTATTCTGCATGGCTTTCCTTTCGGTTTTCTCTCATAGATAAAAACATACAATGTAATTTGCCTTGGCCAAACATCCTTGTGTAACAGGACCCTCCTAAAAAGGTATTTTAACTCTGTGGATTTCCTAGGTAATTATTATATGAGATTGATATGATTATTTGAGTGGAGGGAACCTTAGCTCATCTATCACGACACCACTGGTCACTCACAATTAAGGTTCTTTGGGCATGAGAACACAGCTCTGGGTGGAATACTGACTACGCCATCCCTATGGACAGCACAATGTGCTTTGCAGCATTCCACCACAGCACATGAAGACTCGCGCACATACACACGCACTAGTACACACTGATGCACACTCATACAACCGCTATTCGCCACTAAGTGGTGGTGATGTCACCACGGCACATGTGCCAGGCATGTGCACTTTAAGGCTACGTGAAGTGTCGAACGCCCACTGGTAGGTCACGGGACAGACCCAGGTGGCATGGGTTGACTGATTGAGATGACTGTCACTCATACACACACTCTCTAACACAAAGCTACGATCAACAACAACAACCGCCATTCGCCACTAAATGGCGGTGACGTCACCACGACGCTTGTGCCAGGCCATGTGCACCTTGAGGCCATGTGAAGTGTCGAACGCCCACTGGCAGGTCACGGGGCAGACCCAGATACCACGGGTCGACTGACTGAGATGACTGAGATGACTGGCTGATGCACCACCTGTGCCCCCTACTGTGCCAACAGTAGGGGGCACAGACACACTTGCACTCATATAAACACTCACACGTAAAAAGATCCACCGTATAGCCTCAACAGACTGTTGGGGCAAGTAGTGTTAGTGAACACCTAAGAAGGCCAGCACATGTTACTGATTTAACGCCGAGTCGACCTAGGGGAGGCCTAGGACCAGTTCAGATAATCGTCACTGATGTTGGCCGTGAGCGGGAATTTCGAGTCGTCAGGTTCATAGCGCAGCGTGCTAACCACTACACTACCGTTCCCCCTTACACACACAGTAGCACACGTACAGACATAATCATACACATTGACACACTCATTCACACATCGTACTCATACATTTGTAGGCACACGGTCACATACTCAAACCTGCATTCATACGTGTACACAATCACATACACGTGTGTACTCGTAGACTCGTACACACGTGCTCACTCAGGCAGATGAATGCCCGTGCACGCTCACGCGCGCGTACACAAACCGCCAGGCTCACCGAGATGCCGCGCTCTCCCGGTTTCCATTGACGAGACTCGTAGAGTTTGACAAAATACTCCTCCCATAGCCCTGGTGCAGCCTCGGGACAGCAGGGGATGGACACGTGAAGAGTGCGCACACAATGAGAAACGTGAACGTGCATGGCGACGAACACGGCCGCGGGGCAGAGGCAATGGTGCGGAATAAGACAGAAGCATCAAATAAAGAATAACGATGCCACCGTGAAAGAGGAGGGCGCTCTGGAGGGCACACGCGTCACGTTTTTTTATATCTCGTGGAACCTGGGAAACCGAGAGCCTTGCGTTCGTTCACATTGCATTCAGAGCCCATCCAGGGCACCCTGATTTCACCACGACTGCCCTGTTGTTGCCGTCGCCGCCCTAAGCTGGTTTCTCCAGAGGGCCACACGCACAGGGCGCGCCTCTCATGGTGAACGACTCTCACAGTTGCACAGGATTCTGTGAAGCCATTTAATCGTGGGAGATACGTCGACATGTGGCCACGTTGACTCAAAATGGACTGTAAAATATAGACAAAAACAATAAACATCGCTGATGATATCCCTACGTAGTCTCTACTAGCCTATGTATACACAACAATAGCATCTGCAACTAGGTGGCAGTGCCATCACCACGGCAAGTGTGAAAGGCTAGGTGCACTTTGAGTCCATGTGAAGTGTCAAAGAGTCGCTGACAGGTCACGGGACCCAGATGTCATGGATTGCATGACTGAAATGACTGGCAGATGTACTACCTATGCTGCCCATTGTGCCAACTTGCTGCATTTTAACCACCCGGTGCTCCGCTCGTTGTTGTGAGCGTCGCTCCTCTGCCCTCTGCTGCTGCTGGAGGGCGATTGCCTCCAACTGCCCAGTAGCATCGTTCATGAGCCTCCTCCACAGAGGCTGACTTTGACATTGCTGGTACCAGTCAGTGGCAGGTCCAATCAGCTCCACTTCATCCTATATCGCATCAGTCCATCTCTTCCCTCGCTCGTGCTACTCCTATTTAGTCCCCTCTATCCAGCCAAACAGAAGCTGCTTGGGCATGCGGTGGCTGGGCATGCAGGCTACATGACCCAGTCAACGCAGCGCCTCACCTGCCAGAGGAGTTCACTGATGGAACTCTGTCCAGATCATTCAAAGATCTGTAAGCTCCTCACACAATCCAGCCTGGTTAAACACAGCATGGATTGTAGGCAGGCCAGCCTGAATATTTCAAACCGGCGCACATGTCACTTTAAAGGGGTCAATGTTTTTCAAGCATAGAAAAGGGAGGGCAGAACTCTGGCAAAGACCCGGAACTTTTCATGCAGCATATACACACACGCACACGCATGTCAATACAGCACGTGCATTCTCTACTCCAGGCGAGATGCCCACGACGTTTATTCACCCCCACAATGCCTTAAGCCACCACCTTCACCCACACAACTCATCAGGTATGTGTTGTTATCGCTAGCGCTGCGCTTACGTACTACACAGAATCGCTATGCAGCATATCCGTTAGAACAGGAGCACTACCGAGCGAGCATAAAACCCACGGCCGACAAATGGCCCTTTGAATTATGAGAATCCCACATGTCCCCTGCCATCACAATCTCCCCTACGTTGCTCACTGAGGACCGTGCCTGCACCGAGAGGGCTACAGTCCAGCGAGCCTCTACACTGCCCCTACTAAGGTCTATCCAGGCCGCTGGGACATGAGGCATATCTCCCTGCGACCTCTCATATCGCACGTGAGCCCTGCTGTTGGGGGACTGGCATGAGGTACGGGCATGTGAAGGCGGTGCAGCTTCCCCTACTGCTTAAAACGCTCACCCCAGTGCGCAGGGAGAGGCACCGGACAGTGCCAAGGTGAGCAAGCGAGAGAGAGAGTGGACCGAAGCAACCAAGGGCACAGGCATCGCATGTTCACTTGAAAAACACAGCGTGAGCCAAGCACGTGGGTTGGTGAGTGGGTAAGTGAGTGGGTCGGCAAGTGAGTGGGTGAGTGAGCAGGTGAGTGGGTGGGTGGTGAGCAAGTGGGTGACACACCTGTGCGGTGTGCGCTGCATGCAGTGCTGTGTGGCGGACTGCTCGTGTGACAGGAGGAGGCTGATGGCGTCCTCCCTGGAGATTGGAATCACTGGGATGAATGCGTTGCTGCAAATTTACGAATACATTTCAAATAAACTTTACTCCAACAAAACAGTCATGCAAGGCTTGCACAAAGAAATGTAAATCACCCGAACAAAATAACTCAACACGCGGAGTGTACAGCTGGCTGAAACAAATGCGTAAACAAATAAAGCATGAAACGAGTGTGAAAACAGATGGAGAGGACCGGGTGCCTGGCATTACCATACCCCCCGGGGTTACCCGTGCACATCGCCCATGCTCTCTACGGTCACCAGCATCCCCCAGCGTTACCTGTGCCCCCCCTCGCCCCATGCGGTTGCCCCGTGGCCCGGCTTGGCCCTGGGCAAGGTGGTGAAGCGACTGCACACACAGGCACCGGGTCAAGCACTCCCACATCCACTGCACAGCAGTCGCTCAACGCATAGCTCCCACTCACACAGCCACAAACTCACAGCTACACATAGCCACACACTCGCACAGCTACACACAAAGCCACACACCCACACAACAACACACACTCCCACAACCACCTACATCATGGTTTGAATAGTTCATAAAGGACGGTAAGTGGCGTGGGAGAGCGAGTGAAAATGACAGTGAAAGTGAGAGAGTGAGTAAAAGTGAGTGAGAGAGTGAGGAAGAGCGAGTGAGAGCGAATGAGAGCGAGATGGTGAGCGATAGCGAGCGAGTGAGCGCGCCCTCCCAGGACACGGGAGATCATACTGCACTGCACACCAACCCAGCAGCAGCACCACCACACACGTCGTCCCCACACCTCATATACCCCACACACCTGCATCGTGTGTAGAGCGTTTAGTGTGTGCATGTGTAGTGTGAGGTTTACGTTGTGTGATGGTGAACGGAGTGTGTGCAGTTTGCGGTGTATGCAGAGTATGTCGTGTGTCATACATGGGGTGTGGTGTATGGAGCTGGTCTAAGGTGAGTGTATGGTGAGGGTGTGGTATGCGGTGTGCAGGGCGCGCTGGTGAGTACCGGTCGGGTTCAGGAGAGTACTGCTCTGCAAGGCCTCTACAGCACTCTCCTCTCGCCGGCCCATCCTGTGGTCGTCGCGGTGACCGGGAATGTCGGCTACAGCCTTCCTGGTCCACACCACTGCCCAAGACAGGGAACCAACACAAAGATTCCCAATGTTGCCCACAGAGATTATTCGGGCAAGTACACTTACGAGCACTCCAACACATAAGGATGTATGCATGATGAACTTTTTTCACACTGTACGTAGCCAACCGTGCTAATCGGAGTTGCAGGAGGGGGTGGGGTGGTCAGCATCATGCCCGGCCACCTTTATTTTTCCCGAGCGGCGATGTTTACACATCACACCAGGTACTCATTTGAGGCTGAGTCAGAAGGGGGAGGCCTAGAACTGGTTCAATAAATCTTCACTTGTGTTGGCTATGAGCAGAAATCGAACTCAGGCCACTGGGTTCGTAGCATAGGGAGGTAACGGCTACACTACCGCTCCCCACACGTGGATACACACACACACACACACAGGTAAAACACACACGAGTAAGCAGCCAGTGTGCTCTTGGTACATTATGCGAACATAGGAAAGCTCAGTATGTTACCCAGTCCCCTGTGTAGTGTGCAGTGTACTGTGTGTGGTGTCCCATGTGGTGCGACATGTGGCGCTCCATGCACTGCTCTGCGCGGTTCCGTGCTGGGCGGTGTGCGGTGCAGCACCTGGTGCTGTGGGGATGCGGCGACTGCGAGCGCGAGCGGCTGCGTTTGTCGGGGTGGTGCGGCGACGCGGAGCGAGAGCGAGACCCTCCCCGGTGCCTGGGCGGCCCCGGCACCACCAGGGCCACACCACGCCTTTCGCGGCTACGGTGGCGCGTCACTGCCACGCAAACCACACGAGGTCACACACAACCACACGAGGTCATACGAGTTCAAGGGTAACGTTATCTCCGAGGTGAAACACACGCGAGGGTGTGCGAGCGACGGCCACGTGGAGACGCGGCCGAAAGGAGACACGAGCCGGGCCCTGGAACCGAAGCAAAAGGCCTCTCACCTGGACTCACGGCTCCAATGCCATCGTCCGTCTCGTAGTCTGACCCCTCCTTCTCACCGATCCGCGGAGACCCTGTGCATGTCATGCACAAAGACAAAGATCCCCCCTATAGTCTGAACAGACTGCTGGGACAAGTGCTGTCAGCGAGCTCCTATGAAGGCCAACAGGGCACTCGAGGTGGCCAGCACTACACCCAGCCACCTTTGTCTCCCGAGTACTGATGATGACATACAATACCAAATACCAGGTACTCATTTAAGGCAGAGTCCACGTGGGGAATACCAAGGAGCGGTTCAGATAATTGTTACTAATGTTGGCCATAAGCAGAAATCGAACTCGGGCCACCGAGTTCGTAGCGCAGTGCGCTAACCACTCTGCTACTGCTCCCCACGTGTCCTTTGCATTCCAGTGATATACACACACAAAGACAAAGAAAAAAATACATCGTAATACCTTAACGGACTGTTGGGGCAAGTGCTGTCAGCATGCACTTCTGAAGGCCAGCACTGCACATTAGGGGGTGGTTTGCCAGCACCACGCCCAACCACCTTTCTCTCCCCAGTGGCGATGTTTACTCACCACATCAGGTACTCATTTGAGGCTTAATCGACCTAGGGAAGGCCCTGAACCGATTCAGATAATCATCACTGTTGTTGACCGTGAGCGGGAATTGAATCGGGTCGCCGGGTTTGTAGTGAAGCGTGCTAAGTGCTGCGTCACCGCACCATCCATATACACATAGGTACACATACGCATGACACACAGTCCACACAAATAGTTTGCGTGTGTGTGCACGAAGTATGTGTGTGTGTTCGGGTGTCCGGGTGTCAACGCGTCTCCACACGCTGCCTCACGCGTAAGTCGGCGGTCGGCCTGCGGGCGCCGTGGCAGGTACGGTGACTGGGCAGGCAGCGCCAGCGAGGAGAGGTCGTGCGTCTGCAGCTTGTACCAGTGCGGCTCATCGTCCAGCAATGCCGTCTCCAGCTCGATCAGGATCTGCAGCGGCACGAGCGGCAAAAGCGGCACGAGCGATCGCGTGCGCTCACGCACCGCTGGCCCGGCTCACCCACCGGGGAACCGCCACCCTCCCTGACCGACCTCACGAGCTTGACCCAGGTGAGTCTCGCAAATCAGACTCATCCCGCTCACTTGAGTAAAATCCACTTGAAGCTCGAACTCATGGTGGAGCGGAGCCATCGCGTCCCTCGCCAACAAACAGCGCACCAGTCCAACAAGCACCATGGGGGATGTCAACGGCGGTTGTCGTATGGACAGACTCGCCTTGCTATAGGATTGTGGAGTTTCCATCACTCACTTGCACTACACCATTCATATCTAATTATGCAGGTGGGCGTACACACATGTATTCAGATGCACACACATGTATTCAGATGCACAGATATGTCCAAAGTGAAAGATAATACAGTATAAAGATAATACAGGCCCATACAGTATAAACATAATTTTGGGGCAAGTGCAGTTCAGAAGCACCTCTGAAGACTGGCATGGCACACAAGGGGATGGGTGGCCAGCAGAAAGCCCGACTGCCTTTGTCTCCCCACTGCTGATGGCTTAACGCCACACCAGGTACTAATTTGAGGCTGAGTCGACCTAGGGGATGCCCAGAACCCAATCGGATAATCACCACTCGTGTAAGCTGTGAGCGAAAATCGAACTCTGGTCTCTGTTGGGTTTGTAGCGCAACATGCTGTGTCAGCTGCACTACCGCTCCCCACACCTGAATGCGTACACACACGCATACACGCGTGCGCACAAACACGCCACCACACCCACCTCCCCCAGGAAGTCGCTGTCCTCGTCGTGGATGCGTGCCTGGTCCCACAGCGTCATCTCCAGCATCCGCTCACGGAACTCGCTGCGGCGCACGGGGCAAAACACGAACGTCTGGCCCCAGTGCGGCTCCAGCGTCTTGCGAAGCGTCTTTGTTCGCCGCTTGCTCTTGTCGCTACCATACGGCGACGCACGCACCAGCAGAACACACGCGCGGTTTGTGTGTGCACGTGCCAGTAGGATCTGTGCACGCTCAATTAAAGGAAGAGACGAGCTCACACCTCGCTCCTGCCCACCTCTCCCCTCTCGTCTGACTCTACTCCCCTCCACCCTCTCTGCTCTGGGAACACAAAGGTCTCTTGTCCCCAGTCAATTTCCGCCCAGTGGGAGGCCGCTCATTCCCCTCTGATGCAACCGTATTCTCAAACTCCTTTACCCCAGGAATCCGTGCTGTCGACTGCCTGCCACTGCTTAAACTCTGGACTCCAGACCTCCCTCTACTCCTCTGCCTATGGCTGACAGCCTCTTTCTATTTATAACATAAATATATCTTCTTTGGTTCTTTCGGTAAAGTCACGTAGAATGAGAATAAAATAATAAAATAAAATAAGTCAATAAAATTATCACGACGTTTCGGCCACAACACAAGTAGCCTTCTTCAGATGAAAGAACAGAACTGTCGGGACGACGTTGTGGCCGAAACGTCGTGAGAATTTTATTATTTTATTCTCATTCTACGTGACTTTACCAAAAGAACCAAAGAAGATTAATCCTTGCAGTCACGAAAGCTTGAAATCGAAACATAAATATACCCACTGCTTATGTACGACGCCTTTAAATGCGGCTGCGTGTAGATGCTGTTTAACCTGCAGGTCCCGCGCGTGCCTACCTGCGGTCGGGTAGAAAGTAGAGCTTGACGTAAGGATTGCGTGGTCGCCCATCATCGCGAGCCGGGAGGTCGGCTGCCCCCAGCACCGTGACGATGAGCTGCTCACCCGGTTTGTCGTACCACAGCTTTACCTGTACATGCACCCAGCAGTATAAACAACCACCATCATACAACAACACGACAACCGCCATTCGCCACTAAGTGGCGGTGACGTCACCACGACGCTTGTGCCAGGCCATGTGCATCTTGAGGCCACGTGAAGTGTCGAACGCCCGCTGGCAGGTCACGGGGCAGACCCAGATGCCACAGGTCGACTGACTGAGACGACTGGCTGATACACCATCTGTGCCCCCTACTGTGCCAACTTGCTGTGCTTTAGCCACCCGGCGCTCCGCTCGTTGCTGTAAGCGTCGCTCCTCCGCCCTCCGTTGTCGTTGGAGGGCGACTGCCTCCAACTGCCCATTAGCGTCCTTCACGAGCCTCCTCCGCAAAGGCCGATCTTGACACCGCTGGTACCAGTCATCTGCAAGTCCACTCAGCTCCACGTCCTCCTGTACCACATCACTCCATCTCTTCTCTAGCCCGTGCCGCGCCCGTTTAGCCCCCTCGATCCGGCCGAACAAAAGCTGTTTAGGCATGTGGTGGCTGGGCACACGGGCTACATGACCCAGCCAACACAGCCTTGCCTGCCGGAGGAGCTCACCGATGGGACTTTGTCTACATCTTTCAAGGATTTGTGAGCTCCTCACACAATCCAGCCTAGTTAAACCCAGGATGGATCGTAGGCAGGCCAGCCTAAATGTTTATAATTGGCGAAGATGTTACATTAGGGGGGTCCACGTTTCGCAAGCGTAGAGAAGGGAATGACCGTGGCCGAGAAGACCTGGAGCTTCGTGCGGAGTGATAGACCAGGTAGCTTCCACACAGCGTTACGCAACCGATGAAAAGATAATGCCGCTCGACTGATTCAGATTGAGACCTCTGTTGTTAAACCGGAGCCGTTCATGAGCACACTGCCAAGGTATGGGAAACTCTCCACTCTCTCCACAACTGCCCTATCACCATTTGGGAGTTGTGGGGGTGGAGTGTCCAATGGTACAAAATACCCAGGCAGGTGCTTAGTTTTGGTGGGGCTGATGATAAGGCCCCACCTCTTGGTAGAAAGCTGCAGTTTCAGCAGCAGCACCTCCAACTCCTCCTCTGAGTGAGCAGCAATTACCAAATCATCGGCATACATAACATGGTTGAGCATTAGGGAGCCATCCCTTGACCATACCTGGGCATCGATCAGCCTCCCATTGTATCTGTACCAAATGGAAATTCCTCCGGTACCTATTGAAGGCTTCACGAACTACGTGGTCAAGATAGATGTTAAATAATGTGGGAGCCAGAGGACATACCTGTCGCACCCCAAGGTATACAGGGAATGGCTCTGACTCCCGGCCACGTAGTTTTACCCAGGCCCGCTCACCATCATGAAGGTCCTTAATGATTTTGATTTAAAGCTTTTGTGACTGCAGGGATTCATATTCTTGGTTCTTTCGGTAAAGTCACGTAGAAGGAAAACAATAAAATAATAAAAATATTAAACATTAAAATTCTCACGACGTTTCGACTGCAACACAAGGAATCATCATCAGGTGTGAAAACCACAGCAAGAAAAAATTTGAAAAAAGTGGCGGTTTTTTTAACATTAGCACCACGGAGAGCGATTTGGCAGTTATTCAGGTGGACGAGTCCATCTATGTTCGAAAAAGAGGAGGGGGGAGACGAAAATAATGGATGCGGTCTGAAAGCCACCGTAAGCGTGAACAATTAATTAAGACCCGAAATGGTTTATCAAATCCTTCCAATGATTGCTAAGCCAGAATCCATCTTCTCGGTTGAAATTGTCTCTGTGTTTGTTAGGCTAATGGTTACTCCGACTACACAATCCGCAAAGCTATCACTCCAACCATGAAGAAGGACCCTCTTGAGGAGCCATTCAAAATCATCACTTTACCCTACATTGCGGGAATCACAAAAAAGATCTCCAAAATCTTGAATGAACACAAGATCCAGGTCCGATTCAACACATTACATAAAATCCGTGATCTGGTTCCATCTGTAAAAGATGTGATTCCGGACATACAGTACCCTGGCGTCTACAAACTAAGATGCCTCTGTGGTAGTAGTTACATTGGAGAAACCAAACGACATGTCTCGGACCGCATCCGTGAACACAAAGCAGACCTAAAACATGGTAGGACCAACACCTCGGCCATGGCAGATTACTGTTATAATTCAGTAGGCTCACATGACATTAACTTCTCCAAGACAGAGATTCTCTGCAAGCCATCTAGCTACCATGAGAGATTCATTCATGAGGCTATCCACATATACAGAGACAATTTCAACCGACAAGATGGATTCTGGCTTAGTAATCATTGGAAGGATTTTATAAACCATTTCGGGTCTTAATTGATTGTTCACGCTTACGGTGGCTTTCAGACCGCATCCATTATTTTCGTCTCCCCCCTCCTCTTTTCCGAACATAGCTGGACTCGTCCATCTGAACTGCCAAATCGCTTTCCGTGGTGCTAACGTTAAAAAAACGCCACTTTTTTCAAAAAAAGTATTGCTGTAGTTTTCACACCTGATGATGATTGCTTGTGTTGCAGTCGAAACGTCGTGATAATTTTAATGTTTTACGTTTGTATTATTTTATTGTTTCCCTTCTACGTGACTTTACCGAAAGAACCAAGAATATGAGTCCTTAATGATCGTGAGCAGAGGGTCAGGGACTCCGAAAGCACGAAGAACAACCCAGAGCCCAGGCCTACTGATGGTATCATAGGCCTTGACCAGGTCAATAAAGCAGAGATGTAGGTCTTATTAGAATTCCCTACACCTCTGCTGTAGCAGACGGACAGAAAATATGGCATCTGTGCCGGACCACCCTTTCCTGAAACTGCATTGGGGCTCCGCAAGCCTCTCCTCAGCGTGCCTAGCAAGGCGATGTTGAATAATCCTTGCCAGGACCTTTCCCGGCACACTGAGGAGTGAGATGCCCCTGTAGTTGTTACAGTCTGTGCGGTCCCCCTTCTAAAATATGGGGACCACCAGGGCATCCTTCCGATCCTGCGGAACCCGTCCAGTGGTCCAGACTGTTCTTATGATGTCATGTAGGGTAGTATGTGCACAAACACCACCCTCCCTCAGCATTTCGCTTGGGAGATCATCTCTGCCCGGAGCCTTTCCTGGTCTCAGACTCTGGATCACCTTCAGTACTTCCTCCACAGATGGCACCTCAGCCAGCCACTCACAGGGGGCGACTTCCTCCTCCAATATTTGAGGCACCGCAGCCTCACCATCATACACCCAGTAGCACACACACATCGGCAACCACACAATAACACAACAGCCACCGTTCGCCACTAAGTGGCGGTGATGTCACCACAGCACTTGTGCCAGGCTAAGTGCACTTTAAGGCCACGTGAAGCCCACTGATACATCACGGGACAGACCCAAGTGCCATGGGTTAACTAACATGACCAGCGGATATATCACCTTTGCTCCCTACTGTGCCAACTTGCTGCATTTTAGCCACCCAGTGCTCCGCTCATTGTTGTGAGCATCGCTCCTCTGTCAGTCCTTCAAGAGCCTCCTCGAAAGAGGTCAACCCTGACACAGCTGGTACCAGTCATCAATAAGTCCACTCGGCTCTGCATCCTCTTGTACCACATCAGCCTATCTCTTCTATAGCCCGTGCCACACCGTTTAGCCCCATCTATCCAGCCAAACAGAAGCTGCTTGGGCATTCGGTGACTGGGCATGCGGTATACGTGACCCAGACAACGCAGCCTCGCCTGCCAAAACAGCTCACTGATGGGACTACGTCCAGATCTTTGAAGGATATGTGAGCTCCTCATATACTTAATCTAGTCTGGTTACACCTAGGATGGATCGTAGGCAGGCTGGCCTGAATGTTTCAAACCAGCGCAGGTGTCCCTTTTAAGGAGTCCACGTTTCGCAAGCATCGAGAATGGAGGTCATAACTGTGGCCTAAAAGACCCGGAGCTTCGTGTGGAATGATAGGCAGGTAGCTTCCACACAGTGTTACACAGCCGATGACAAGATATTGCTGCTTGACTCATTCAGAGACCTCCGCTGCCAAAAAAGAATTGGTCATGGAATGGGAACTCTTCCCCTCTATCCACAACTGCCTCAATATTCATGGGGGGTTGAGAGGTTGGAGTTTTTGATGACACAAAATACCCAGGCAGGTGCTTTGTTTTTATGGGGCTGATGGTAAGGTCCCAACTTTTAGTGGCATATTCCAGGTTCAGCAGCAGAGTCTCCATCTCTTTCTCAGAGGGAGCAGCAATTACCAGATCATCAGCATACATAACATGGTTTACCAATAGGGAGCCATCACTTGATCACACTCGGGCATTGATCAGCCTTCCATTGTATCTGTACCAGATGGAAATTCCTCTGGTACAGCCATGGAAAGATTATTAAACGACGTGGGCAAAAAATATGTTTAACAATGTAGAAGCCAGATGACAACCCCATCACACCTCAAAGTGAAGAGGAAATCGCTCTGACTCCTGGCCGTGCGGCTGTACTTGGGTCAGGGACTCCGAAAAAACGAAGAATAAGCCAGAGCCCTGGCCTATCGATGGTATCATAGGCCTTGACCAGGGCAATAAAGCAGAGAAGTAGGTCCTACTTAAATTCCCTACATCTGCTGTAGCAGACGGACAGAATATGGCGTCTGTGTAGGACCACAAGCTTTTCCCCAGTGTGCCTGGCAAGGCGATGTTCAAAAATCAACTGATTAGGAAAGAAAGAGTTGATGAGACATGGTCGGAGAGATAGAGTCAGACAGACCGGGATGGAGAAAACGGGTTGTAGAGATAGGGATAGAGAGACAAAGTGAGAGACAGGGTTGGAGAGACAGGGTTAGACAGAAACAGACACACCAAGATAGAGGGTCTCTACTGTCTACTTCCATTCGCTGGGACTCAAGAGTCTGATGAAGAGGAGGCAGCACGACCCTGAGATTCGTCTATGCCACATCGGAAAGAGCACTGCCCCACACATCATCCTGGCGACCAGTTCCAGTGAGACCGAGAGTGAGGTGGTTCGATGAGCCCTCCATGTCACATGTCCTCCGGGCAGCCTCCTCCTGGCCGTGGTGGCACGCACGAGTTTACTGTACGGTGCTCAGGGGCATGCGGTGCTCTGGGCTGTGCGCTCACGGCACAAGCGAGCGGGGCTGCCGGGCCGTTACTGTACCTGCAGCTGCGGCCCGAGCCACCGCCTGCCCACGACTCGAGGCTGGGAGCCGCCGGGACACAGCAGCAGCAGCCGCAACAACAAAGAGGGTGACACTCAAGACAAGGACATGCGGCGTGAGCAACACAAAAACGCACGTGCGCAGCATGAGCAATGCAAACAAGGCATGGGCAACAAAAAAAACACACAATGTGAGTGACAAAGTATATATTTAAATTAAATGTAAAAAATATACTTTTTTTATTCCATATTACGAATGTGTAACTCAGCTAGAGCAAAATCTTGGAGACAACACCAGCATAAAATAAAAATGAAATTTTGCTGCCACGCTGGTGTGAAGCATGCTAGGGAGGGTGAGCGAGGTAAGCAATGCAGTGTGAGCATTGAGTGAAGCGAGCGCGAGGGAGCATGCGAGTTAGGCGAGCATGTGTGAGCAAGGTAAGTGAGCGTGCATCCACCCACAGACAGACGTCCTGGCAAGATCTGCGGGGCATCCCTGAGCAGACCCGAGCTGGTGAGAGACGTAACGGAGGTGGAGAGCTGATCCATCTTGCTCGACTCGAAAGAGCTGGAGCCTGGAACAGCAGCAGTAGAAGACATCATCTTCCGCCAGCACTCAACAGCAACACCAACAGTGGCACCAGAAGCATCAGCACATAAGACATTACGTCACGTCAGCACACGGCACCAATAACAGGAGCGCAGACTCGTCAGCATGAGGCACATGCAAGTGACGATGGCGGCTGTACAGAATTCCACTCACTGGACTCGAGCTGCACCTGGGTGACCTCGGGGATCTTCGAAGCGTCTCTGTAACGGTACCGGCAGGGGCCAAGGCAGCGGTTATGCACACGAGCGACGCGCCCGCTGGAGTCTCACGGCTCACATATGCATGCGAGCGTGTGTGCGAGCAAATGCGTGGGCCCACGACGAAGGCCGTGAGCGTGGGCGTGCGTCCCGACGCACGGATGGCGAGTAGAGAAACTATGGCGTGCTCGGTGATCGCACGCACGGAACCCCGGGAAGGTGGCCACAGGGGAAACTTTTCCCGGCGGGTCTCGCACATAAGAGGGCCCTACAAAGCGGCTGTTCTATGCTGCCAATGATAAAAAGAGGGCGTTGAGATGGGAGTAATGCCTGTGTTACTGTATGTATCAGAGAGCTAGACCCGAAGTGATATGAACTGTGTGGCTATGAATACGATTGGAAGTACATCCAAGTTCGTCTGAGTGTCAATACGTGTGTGACTGCAACTACGTGTGCCAGTACGTGAGATTTTGAGTAAGTACGAGTGGGGACTTGATTCGAAGCTTTCGTGACTGCAGGAATTACTCTTTGTTTTTTTTTCGGTAAAGTCACGTATAAATAAGAGATAATAAAATGACATAATAGCGTACGCCGTTTCGGTTGCAACACAAGCAGTCATCATCAGGTACAGAAGAGCTAAATTTACGAGAGAGAGGAAACACATAACCCCAAATGTATATACAGACACCCAAGTAGGGGGGAACTAACACAGATACAATTTAGCAATCTTTGAAATAGCGTAATCAACCAGACTATGCGTTAATTGTGTTTTTACCGACCGTCTGTGTTGCTTTATATGGTTTCCAAATTTTGCTAAACCCTGTTTGTTTGGTATGCGTCTCTCTCTGTGTCCCCTGTTGTATCTGTGTTAGTTCCCCCCTACTTGGGTGTCTGTATATACATCTGGGGTTATGTGTTTCCTTTCTCTCATAAATTTAGCTCTTCTGTACCTGATGATGACTGCTTGTGTTGCAACCGAAACGGCGTACGCTATTATGTTATTTTATTATCTCTTATTTATATGTGACTTTACCCAAAAAACCAAAGAGTAAGTACGAGTGAATATGTATGTTGAACTTCTTTCGCACCGTAAATAGCCAACCGTGCTAATATGAGTGTGAGGACGTGAGACTGAGTACATGTGTGATTGTAAGCGTGTGAGTACACGTGTGCGTGTATGTGTACTCGTACACTCGTGAGTGGACGTGCGAGTACATGCGTGAGTTCGTATGCGAGTACACGCATGCTGCCCACCTGAGTGGTCGTGCTACCAGCAGTTCCACCTGTGGAGACGGCTTGGATTGCAGGATGATATTGTAGACCTCCTCGAATGAGGCTCCCCGCAAGAGCCGCCCGTTCCACTCCAGCACCTCATCGCCTGCGCAGGGACACGTGCACGTGCCCCACTCACACCCGCCTCACAGAACCACGTGCACGTGACACGACTGCATCTCCATGGAACACGCAAGGTTTGACAAATGCTTGTAATCCAAGTATGGTTTTCTGGCTCTCACCACCTACATATCCGCTTTATTGACCTGGTCAAGGCCTACGATGCCATTAAGATGCTCGTACTTGGTGTTATTCCTCATGTCTTCCGGATCCCTCATCCTTTTCCCACAATGACAAAGGATCTTTGTAATGGTGAGCAGGCCTGCGTAGAGCTGCCTGGCTGGCAGTCAGAGTCATTCACCTTGGAGTACCATAGGGATGCACTCTGGCTCCCACATTATTTGACATGTTTTTTTGACCAGGTAGTTCGAGAAAATTTCCATGGCTGTGCCATAGGAATTCCCATCTGGTGCAGATGCAGTGGGAGGCTTAACGGGCAACTTCAAGAGTAATTCAAACTCTGCCATTGCCCACAGTAGCTCAAGGCCAAAGCTCGAAGTAAGAAATGCTCAACACACAGCCCATCTCTGAAGTCCACACGTTGACTTCCTGCAAAAGGTGAGAACACTTTCGCAATAGGAACATGTGCTCAGGCTATAAACAAATATAACAGGTGGATTGATGACTGCACTGTGCTGATGAGTCCTAATCCTAATGAGGACGAAACCAGTATGTACAGGGAGATGCACACAAACAGCAACGATAGCCGCCATTCGCCACCAAATGGTGGTTACGTCACCACAGCACTTTTGCGAGGCTTGGTGCACTTTGAGGCCACGTGAAGTGTCGAAGGCCTCGCTGTCAGGTCACGGGACAGATCCAGGTATTATGGGTTGACTTAATGGGAAGACTGACAGATGCACCACCTATGCCCCCTACTGTGCCAAATTGTTGATCAATGAGCATAGCAGCTGATTAATATCAGCCTTTTTCCCCCCAATGGCATTACTTAAAGTCACCGAGAGAGGTGGGTGATGTTTTTCCACTCCTCGGGAGTGTCATGGTTAGCACGCTGTTCTTCAAATCCGGCGACTCAAGTTCGATTCCCGTTCATTCCCAATAACAGTGAAATTGTATGAACCAATTCTGAGGCTTCCTTAGGTCGATTCAGCCTTTAAGGAATACCTGGTGCGGTGTAAACATCACCACTGGGGAGTCAAAGGAAGCCGGGTGAAGTGTTGGGCATCCACCTCTTAGTATTATGCAAGCTAACAGCACTTGCCCCAGACAGTCTAAACTAAACTAAAACTCAGTTTAATACGTAGGCTTTCGCGACCAATATTATTCATAATAAAGGTATTTAGGTTAGATCGCGTTATTTATAAATGTGTCGCAACCCTCCACCACCCGACACGGCCAATCAGCAAAAAAAAGTGTCACGTGGACAAAAAACAAATAGTTCACTACTTTACAATTCCTTATAGGGGAAACACATACTAATTAACGGATTACTAACGTAGCATAGAATCACAATAACACACATTACAACTAATTACTAATCTACAACTCATTACTAATCATAACCATTGACTAATTACCAATCGATTATATAATTACAATACCCCCCCCTCCGCCTCAAATCACTGCATCTGAATGAGTTAAATGATGACGTCACCCTGCTGCTCTATTTAAGACCGGGAGCAAGTGAGAGCTTTACCATTCTGGCGAATTGCCCGATGATGCTGGATGTAATTACCAGCGAAACGTCGTACTCAAACTGTAAATGTTGTGGATTCACTCTTCAACACACTGGTGGGCTAAAGTAGTGAACTATTTGTCTTTTGTCAACGTGACACTTTTTTTGCTGATTGGCCGTGTCGGGTGGTGGAGGGTTACGACACATTTATAAATAACGCGATCTAACCCAAAACCTTTATTATGAATAAACTAAACGATTTTTATCTTATTCATTGTTTTTTTCGGTAAAGTCACGTATGTAGAAATACAATAAATTTATATTAAAACAAAACAATCACGACGTTTCGATCACAACACAAGCGATCTTCATCAGGTGTCAAGAACAAATCATGGAGGTAAATACAACAAAAAGATGAGAGACGATAATTCAACAAACCTGAAAAACATTATGTGAAGCACAGCCAGTCAGGCCAACAACACAGTTAGACACTTCCTGGCGGACCACGAATTTCAGAAGTGTTAAATTTCGTGTTCAACCTCTGGATTGCACATACCAGCATAGACAGAATGATTTTTATCTTACCAGGTAAGGCCCACTCAGCTATATATCTCTTTTTCAGAAGTGACCTCAACGAAGTGGCTAATCAATGTGGAAATTTATAGCACCCAAAGATTCTAAACGCGTGATGTTGATTCTAAATGTGGAGGGGAAAAGGACCCGGAGAAGAATCCACGTAACCACGGGGAGAGAATATACGGGCATCAAGGTCGGGATCGAATCCACGACCTCCCGTATACCAGACGGGGTAGTTAACATCTCGGCACCGTGGCGCCCATGGTGGCAAGACGTTAAAGTCTATACCGGAGATGACAGTCTCGCACACACTCGTAGCCTTCAATTAGCACGGTTGGCTATGTACATTGCGCAAGAAGTTCAACAGACATACATACGCACAAAGGGAAATTCACTCACCTGCCTGCAGCCTCCCCATGATGTCTGCGAGACTGCCACGTTTCACCTTGGTGATGAACGCACACAGCTTCCCCGGCTCCGTCATCTTCCCTCCCACCACCTGCACAGCAACCTCTATAATGAGCCTCTCACTTACAGCCACACCTCAAGCATACCTACACCTCCATGAGCCACACTGCTCTCACAGCCACCCACGCCTCCAGTAAGCTCCAAACACGTCTTCTGCACAAGAGCGAAGGTGTTCTCACAGCACCTTCGCCCCCACACTACTCGCCCCTGTACCTTGAGGCCCAGCACGGCGCCAGAGTCGCGAGGCACGGAGCCATCCTTAAGGCGCTTGTTGAGCACGATGCGCCCGATGAGGCGGTCGCCCTCGCGCGACGGCTGCCACGTGACGGGCTGTGGGCACAGGGACTTGTGCTCATGCGGGGATGTCATCACGGCCACAACTTAAGTGCGGTGTGAATAAAAACGGCTTGGGTGAGCAGCGTAAGATCCCGGAGCACAGAGGCAACGGGAAGGAGTGAGAATGGGTAAGAGAGACAGAACACACTCACTCAGTGACTCACTCACCCCCCTCACTCACTCACCCCCTCACTCACTGACTCACCCACCCACTGGCTCGCTTGCTCAAGAGAAGGACAGAAAGGAAGCAATTAGAGGGGATGAAATGGAAGTTTTGAGGAAAGTCTTCAAAGCAAAGAGAGGCGGCAGGCCGAGTGCCCTGAAGAGGAGGGAGGAGTTCGTGGGGGGAGGGAACCCTCGGGCGAGCAGAGCCGTCCCGCGGCCCCGCTCGCCGCTCCACTGTCGAAGGTCAGGGGTATGGTGGCCTCACCGTCGCCAGGAGGGAGGGGTCTCCACTTGGGTACGTGCGAGCCACGTCGCGCTTGTATGGGTCCCGGTCTCCGGCCGCTGGGGGGAGACAAGGGCGGAGGGCGGCATGACCACTCAGCGTGGCGGGTTCTGCTTCTCCGGCGATCGCAGCGCCCCGCCCGGCCTCACAGCGGAGCCCACATCGCCGCCACACCTGGCACCTACCCATGTCGCCGGCGCCCTCACTCTCGCCCTCCTCCTCGTCGGGGCAGCTGCTGTACTCTGGCGTCGACTCTTCGGTACTGCTGGTAGAGCGGTGCCGAGATTTCTTCACCTTGAGTACTTTCTGCTGCTGCTGCTGCTGCTGCTGCTGCATGCACCGCAGGCCATCCAACTGATCCGAGCCCAGTGAGTCATTCCACGCCACCGCAGTGCCGTCCGTAACATCCCGGCGTCGGTAGGGTCCGTGGGCACCGTGCCCGCGGGCGTCCGGGCACCAGCCCGGGGACACGGGGCCGCGCCGGATGCCCCGGGATAGGCGGGGGGCGTCCGGTACCCCGGGTTCGGCGGGCGGCACGAGGGCCCGCCGGTGCCGTGGGCGGTCGGCGCGGCTGGTGACAGGCCCTGGGTACGCCGTCTCGTCCGCCTCAGTCACCGGCAGCGCCACGTCGCTGTGCCGCCGCTCATGCCGAGCACGAGAGGCCTCTGCATGGATGCGCATCTGCCGCTCGTATGGTTGCGGCTTCACCGGGTAGCGTGCCAGATTGGGGTCGCTGCGGTAACGGGCCTGCATCTCGGCATCATCGGTGCGGCCACCTCGGAGCGGCCCGCACGCTGCCTCGCTGGCATAGCGGTATGGCAGCCGTGGCTCGGTGGCATTGGGAGGCCTGTCGCCCCCTCCCGTCCGCAGGCAGCCATCCATTCCACGTCCCATCGCTCCGGGAGGCCGCCGGCCAGTGACCCCCTCTGGGCACTCCGATGGGACGGCCAGGCCTCGACTCCTGTTACGCACGCACGTGGGGTCATGGACGTGCTGGGCCAGCGTGGGGGGTGATGCGACGAGCGTAGTGGGAGACCGGCCGTGCGGCCAAACTCACCTGTGGTTATTCATGACCAGCGAGCTGCTCCGCCGGCGTCGCCGCGCAGCCAGAAACATGAGCAAGGGGGGAACACGGGAACACAAAGAGCGATATCAGGATCAGGAGGAGCACCGCGACACCGAGCCACTGATAAATTACGTTTTTCATCACCCTGACCGGTGAATCTCGTGCTAATCATGGGCAATGGCCAACCGCTCAACTGCCCGTCCATCGTAGGGGCTGACATGAAGCGGGTGGGGTGCGCGAGGTGCGCAACCACGCTGGGTCGCCCACCCATGGACGGCCGGTAGCTCTGGCTGGGTGAAGCCGCTGTCCGTGGTGCTGCGGGGCGGGGAGCGACATCCCTTCCTGCCGTTCCCCCGTGCCTGTCCGGGCGGCGCCAGCTGCGTCTTCCCGTCGCGGCTCCGCCTACCCCGTGAGGCAGTTTCCCCTCCGTCCGCCTCGTGATTTCCGCCGCGGCCACCCCGGACCTTGCGCTCACGTCCGAGCGCCGCCCCAGGGTCGCTCTGCTCTTCCACACCCAGCCCTTCGCTGGGGCCGGCCACCGGCCCAAAGAACCAGGCGCCTGATTTGGTGAGGAGCTCCTGCTGCTTGCGGCAAAGGTTGCAAACCCAGATCACCTACGCCCAGGTTTCGCACGCACGCACGCACGCATACACGCCCAGGTTACCCAGATGCAAGGGCACACCCAAACGTAGAAACGTAAACACACACGTACACAGCAGAGAGGGACAGAATGAGGAGCATAGGTAGAACAGCTGTGTAACCAACGCCGGCAGAACTAAGGCCATAACCCTAACCCTATCCCATTCACTGACCCTAACCCTCTCCCATTCACTGACCCTAACCCTCTTCCATGCATGGCCCTAACCCTAACACTCTCCCATTCACCGGCCCTAACCCTTTTTACTGTCAGCGTGCAGCACGCAATAATGGCTCGGCCAGCCCGGCTCCCCTCGCGATGGAGCACGGTAAGAGCATTACCCTAATCCCCAACTGCTGCAATATTCCCGCTGCCGCATATCAACTCACAACCAATCAGCGCGCAGCGCTCGGCAGAAATCCACACATGTGCCACATACTGTAATTGCGCACCCCACAGAAACTTTGGATTCGGAGCGGTGACGTAGCCCGGAGTTAACATGCTCGCTGCTTGTTGCAGGCAGAGGTTTGTGGTTCAAATTTGGTGGGCTGCCCTGGTTATTACCACAGGTGTATTGCCAACTGCGTCTGCGAAGCACAGCAGTGCCTTTATGATGGCCCTGTGCTATAAGAACGTCTCGGATACCAAGCGTACCCAACTGTACTTGTTTACTGTTACGATGGTCTGCAGTCACACTGAGCCGGCGACCGTGTGGCCTCCCTCGCACCACACTTCCACAGATGCATTATTTAAACTTTGCAACACACAGTTTCCATTCACTCTCAGAGGGAGGTGTGGGAAACCACAGCAAAGTGGGTAAGTAGCCAGAACCGGTGCCAATAATTTCCAAGCTCTGCGGTCCTACATTTGGACATTTGATATTGCTAAATGTTGGATGGAAACCGGAGAACCCGGAGAAATCCCACACTTGTGAGGGGGATAACACTCAATCCCCATACAGATGAAACAGGGCTCTCTTAAGCAACCTCATCGGGAAGCCATGGGGTCAGACTCCACGACCCAGCAGCCAACCAATTGCGCACCGTCACCCCGAGCGACCCGAGGATCATGGCGTTGCCATTTAAAATCACCCAGAGGCCCGCAAAGGAGCTTAGCCCTAAACAACCTCGATACGGCAGAGGCGCCAAGCAAGAGTGTCCGTGGCTCCTTGAGGCAGCGGAGATCAAAGCATTCCATCTTTGAATCCCGCCGCGCAATCGCGAGGGCATCGCTCTGGAGGGAGGTCTCTGGCCGCCACGGTAGAGCATGCCGACCCGTGACCAGAGGGCCGCTGGTAGCCACACGGGGACAAGAGATGGGCCCCATTGAGTGGCCCGGGTGTTTACTATTCTGCCCGTCACGGCCTTCCGAGACAACAGCACCGGCCGACCTGAACGTCGCGATATGAGCAGTGTGCCACCCATGCTGGCAGCACCTCGAGTGGCTGTCTTCACACGCAAAAAAAATGACTTCTCACAGAGCGCCTCTCATCAGCGATCTCGCAGCGCCGCACAAGATACAGCAGCACACTCAACGTGACAGTAACTCTTGATTTGAAGCTTTGGTGACTGCAGGAATTACTCTTTGGTTCTTTCGGTAAAGTCATGTAGAAAGAAAATAAATTCAATAGAATACGATGTTTCGATTACAACACAAGCAGTCGTCATCAGGTAGAACTAAATTTGAGAGACAAAACACAGACACGGAGACACACGTGACTTGACCGAAAGAACCAAAGAGCCGTAAACTTTAGAGACTAAGCAAATGGTGAAGCAGAAAAATAATGCTATTTCTGCGCAGCACCGAGAGATACGATGCGGTTACGCGTGGGTGCTACATACGTCCATAGTGGATCGCATTGCACGTTTGTCTACGGCAGAACAGAGCACCGCACGTTACTGCCGGACACAACCACGGAATTAGCACCAAGTTCACGCCCTGACCCTCGTGCCAAATGCGAACTTGTGACTGCAGGCAGCTGTTTGACGCAGGCGTGCGCACGCCATGCACGCAGATCCTTCGCTCGGTGGACGCTCACACCACGCGACCAGCACGCATCACCATAGCCGTTAAATCGCGATGCAGCCGTGGGTTCTCGCGGTAGAGCCCCGCGGCTCTCCGACGCGCGCATAGAGGAGCCACGCGGTACCTCGCTAACGCGGCGCGTGCCGAGGCTGCAGCAGCGCCGCTCACGGCCTGCGTGGTGCCCGCGGAAAGAATGGTTTGTCCTTCATGAAGCCAGATTAAAGACTTACATGGCACAGCGTGCTTCGATCTAGGTCACACCAGGCACGGAGTTAACCACACGCTCTGGGCTGTACCAACTGCAAGCAAGGGAGGGAGTGAATTCATCATCGCCTGGCTTCTGTCGTGGGAACTGCGATAGAAAGGAGAAGCCCTTGAAGCACAAACACATCTCAAAGAGATGAACTTGCACTGAGACAAAGATGGCACTGCCTAAACCCTACCCTGTATGTCGTGCGATGCTCGTCCTTGCCACCACGTCCCCAGCATCATCCGCTGCAAACGGTCTCAGTCAGAGCTACGCCAGAGACCACCGTCCCCCAGTCACGAGGGCGATGATCGCGAGGCACATGTAGCCCGTGAATGTATCCTCTAACAAAACTTCAACGTCCTTCACAGCCCTCTCACCCCCCTATCAGACCATCACCGTTCCCATAGCCCCTCACCTTCCCCCCCCCCCTCACATTCTCTCATCCTGACTCGTGCCCCCCCCCCACCCCCGATGCTTTGAGGCCTCTCTCCGTGGCTCACCTTCCCACACGTGCCTGCTCACCTGCTGGAGAGGAGTGAGCGTGGTGCGGAGTGGGTCGCACTGCCTAGCTGTGCACAGGCTGCGCTTGGGGCCACGCTGCTCTCCCCCTCCACAGCTCCGGCTCAAAGCGGATTTATCCTAATGTGACGCTAATCTCATCGTCCACTCCCCAGCGCAACAACCATCGGTGCACACGACTTAGGTACACACAGTGACACCGGTACACATGACTTACACACACGCACACACAGTCACAATGGTGCACATGACTTATTACACACCCACAGTGACACTGGTACACACGACTTAATACACACACAGTGACACTGGTATACACGACTTACACACATAGTGACATTAGCAGAGACACACACAGTGTCACACTAGGCCCCTTGGCAGCAAGACGTGTTGCGAACATCATCAGCCCAGAGCCGTCTCTCATGCAGCAAGCGCACTCGGACGCACAGAGAAGCTTGCCACAAGCGTGGGGACGGGTTTCCATCAGATGTGTGTACGATGGTGAGGTGTAAGATGGTGAGGTGTAAGGTGGTGAGGTGTCAGGTGGTGAGGTATGCGGTGGTGAGGTGTGCGGTAGTGAGGTGTGCGGTGGTGAGGTGTAAGGTGGTGAGGTGTAAGGTGGTGAGGTGTAAGGTGGTGACTTAGTTTAGGCAGCTGTCACAAACAGACGTCGCAGCAATCTTGCATTTATCTGTGCATGTCAAAGTGAGACAGGAGACATAAGGCGACCAATCGGGGCGTGTGTGACGTGTCCACGTGTCACAGCGTGTCATAGTGCATTCACGTGTGTCACAGCGCATGTCATAGCGTGTTCGTGTGTGTCACAGTGTGTCACAGCGCATGTCACAGCGTGTTGGTGCGTGTCACAGTGTGTCACAGCCCATCCGTGCGTGCGTGTCAGCGCTGTGCATGGGGGCAGGAAAGGCAAGGAAAGAAGCTAACCACTTTGTCCTCCTGCGGTGCAGGGCGTCCGGGCAGGCCAGGAGAGAAATAAGGAACAGCAAGAAACACAAAAGATCCAGGGACACACGTCAGATGCAGCAATGGGTAAACAGCAGCCTGGGGATTCCCAATCCCAACCCCTCTATACTCAGTGTCTGATACCCTTTCTATTTAGTTGATTTCTATTGACTTAATTGCTGTATTTTGTCTTAATGTAAATGCTTTTGCTAATGTGGTGACCTAGATCACTAGTGTAAATGAGACTCATCCAGGCTTCCTGAGTTCTCATCTCGTTAAACAACAATAAACTTAAGTTTAAAACTGAGGCTTTCACGACCAATATCATCCATAATACAGGCTTTTTTTGGGTTAGACCGCATCAATGTTTATTGACGCGATCTAAATTAATTGCATACACGTGTATCGCAGTGTGTGCATTGGTCTGTAGCGTCTCAAGTTCATCATCCATAATACAGGATTTTTTTGGGGTTAGATCGCATAAATCAATATTTATGATAAACTTGAGACGCTACAGACCGATACACAACGACACAGGTGTGTATGCAATTGATTTGTGTGTACAGAGGCAGGCCCAAGAAGAGCCACTGTACACAGCACCAACATGGCCTATAGAGAGAAGGTGGTGTCATAACATGGAAGTGACAGACAGCCATGGGGGAAGGTCCATGGGAGATGTGAAGGAGCATTTCTGGGACAAGACAGAATGGGTCAGAGTTAGTGATATCTGGGTGAGATAAGGATGAGAGTGGTGAGCTAAAGGTGAGCTGATGTTGAGATGAGGGTGAAATGAACGATAGAAATTAAACCACACGAACTCGGCATCTGTGCACCACAATCGCCGGGACGGTGTGTGAGCCGGGTTGAACCCGGAGCCCTCTCCCCATGCCACCCTCTCACCTTGCTGGAGCGCAGCGCCACACGGCCCCCGCACCGTGCGCAGAACAGCGTCTGGCAGTACGAGCAGCAGTGGCCGCATCCGTCGGCAAACTTGGTTTTGTGGCAAATCCCGCAGGTGGGAGTCTCACGCCGGGTCTCCGCCTCCTCTCCGTCGCCAGGGCCCCCCCCCTTCGCAGGGGCCCCCTCTGATCCGTCCACAGTCGCCGCTGCGGCTCCGCGAGCTTCTCCCTCCCGATAGGATTCCCCGCCAAGCTTCTTGATCTCGTCCTTGTACTCCTTGTAGGCCGCAAACTGGTGGTGCAGCTTCCTGCATGGAGACACAGCGATGACGGCCGGAGTGATGGCGAGCGCAGAGCATGCCACCACACCGGGTATGCACGCACGCGTACATGCATGCACGCACGCAAACACACGCACATACACGCACACAAAAGAAGTAGACAATAACATCCCCCCCTTTATGAGCCACAAATCAGGGCTTTATGCTTACGTTAAGTCCAGTATTCATGGTCGGAATCTTTTCATAGAGAATGAAGAGCTGCTCTGACCTCCTCTACTCCTTGGAGCGAGTCATGTAAAGAGAGAGCCTGCACGGGGTCCGTTCTGTACCATCTGAACTCGGGTCAAGACCTGATTGCGGTGAGCATAATGCTGGAAGACTTACCTCTCAATTGACACGGTATTCTGGGGAAGCTTATGAACAAAAAAAGCGACATCCTCAGCACTGCTCGTTACTTTACCAACACCGTGGAAGGGGTCCTGCCAGTACAGCATACGGCTTGCTCACCCTTCTGGCTAACGTTATTGCCACCAGAAACACCATATTCAGAATTAAGAACCTCTCCGTACAAGCAGTGAGGGCTTTTAAAGGAGGACCACAGTATATTCAACATGAAATGCAGCTTCCAGGGAACAACCCCAAGCCGCACCAATGACCTCTCCTGCTTCATGGCCCGAAACAGCTTGGAAATGATCACGTCACTCTCAACCGGGGTTCCCCTGGCCTCATTATGAAAGGCGAAATGGCCAATGCCCTGACCTTCAGGACTGCCAGGGAAAAACTCCTCTAGAATGCCTCTGTTACTAACCTCACCACACATTCCACGAGGCAGACCACCGGATTGAGATCCTTCTCACACCAAACCCAGAAGAACCTCCAATGTGAGTTTCACACTCTCCATGTCGGGGCCCTGCTTGACTTTAGTAGGATATCCTGAACACCTACATCTAGACCCCAGCGGTTAAAATAGGTCTTCTCAATCGCCAGGCCATCAAGTTCAGTGCCAGGAGGCCTTGCCATCACACTCACCTTTGGAGAAGCAGGTCTGCTCTCTGCAGGAGCTGCCAGGCTTCTCCTAAAATCAGGGGTCAGGAGGTTAGAGTACCATGACACCCTGGGCCAATTCATGGCGATCAGGACCACTTCTGCTCTTTCTCCTGCTGACCTTTTCCAACACCTTTGGAATGACGGGGGAAGGCGGAATTACATACTGTACCCCCAACTGTCCCACCCACTGGCAGGACATTGCATCCGTCGCAATGGCTTCCCGGTGCCAAAACCTAGATGCGCACCGGATCATCTTAGCATTCTCCTCAGAGGCAAACTGGTCCGACTATTGGGATTCGTTGCCTGAGGGCGCCTTGGTCATAGGCTTCGACCCACTCCCACGTGTCTGGCTGCTGAGCCAATCAGTCATCTGACTGTCCACTACCGACTGATGCTTGGCCTGCAAGCAAACCTGGTTCTCCTCTGGCCATGACACCAGCAGATGACTCAGCTTGTCCAGCCTGGGTGATCCTGTTCGCTGATTATTGCTGCTGCAGCCACGTTTGTGGCATCTGGTCACGAGATCCTTGCCTGCCACGATCTTTAAAAGTGGCGCCAGTGTAATCGCATCACCCTTAGCTCCAGGAAGTTGATGCTCCACCTTTTCTCTGCCTGCAGAGCCATTCTTATGCAAGACGCTACCCAGACCAGCAGACTGAAGCCCGTCTCTGAAACCAGGTGCTCCTCGAAGAAGCCTAAAGGGTGGGCCCCATGCAACCACGGTGAGGTGAGCCACCACTTCAAGTCCTTCCTGGCCGATCACGATAAGGAAGAGCGTTGACGTGGGCTGCCCCCTCCCGCAAGAACTCACCCATCCAGCAGGCACCACTGGAGCACATTGAAGTTCAACTAGGCCCATAAAACCATAGCTTTATTCGTCAGCGTTGACATTTGCTCACCCTTCGACACAGTGAACCACAAACGCCTAATCAATCACCTACAGTCTGACGTCGGGATCAGCGGGACTGCACTAAACTGGATTTCTTCATTTCTGCCCGGCAGGTGTTTACCCATCAAAGTGGGAGCTACTTCTTCCAACGCAATTCCGTTAACATGCGGAGTACCTCAGGGCTCAGTCCTGGGCCCCCTGCTGTATTCCATATATTACTTTCCCATTGGCCGACTGATCGACAGTTTTTTTGCTGTTTTTTTTCATGAATTTTCTGTTTGCACAGTCACATAGTCACTTTAAGATGTTTTTCTTGTTCGTGTTTTTGTTTTTTTGTTTGTTGTGGTTGCACCCGATTCAAGAGCCGGATGGCTCACAGGGCTATACCAAAATAAACTGAACTGAACTGATCCGCCGCCACTCCTATGCTGACGACACTCTTCTCATTACCTCTATTAAATCTCACAGCAACTAAGGTATCGACCGTCTTTCCACTTGCTCGACCACAATACAGCACTGGTTTCAAGATCACGACCTCTCTCTAAACCCTACCAAATCCGAGGCCATCTTAATTGTCACTCGCCAAAGACTGGTTTCACTCCCACTCCCCTCGGGAATCTCTATCTCTGATTCCTTTGTTCCCTTCTCAGACCACCTCACATGTCTCGGCGTCACTCTGGATCCCACTCTCTTCTTCGACACCCTCAAGTCCTGCAACTACCATCTCAGGACCCTCCGCCATCTACGTCCATTCATCACCTCCAAAATCGCAAACACTCTCGCCTGCAGCATCGTTGTGTCATGGGTCAACTATTGTAACTCAGTCCTCGTCCGGTCCACTCTAAACAACCAAAATAATCTGCAACGCCTAGAAAACCACATGGCTCGAGTTGTCCACGGCCCCCGCAACCCTCGCCCTGACTCCCTGTCCATCCTTTGTGCCCTTCATGGGATGCTGGTTTTGATCAGAATTACCTTCAAGATCACTTGCCTCTGCTACTAGCGCCCTAAAATGCGGCTACCCATCATACCAAAGTTCTCTGCTAATGCCTTACACACTTAAATTAATCGTAGAAACCTTCGCAGTGCATCCCAGAACCTCCTGGAAACTCCCAGGACAAGGACTGTCATTGCTTCTCGTCATTCTCCGTTACAATCCCCGTCATCTGGAACGCCATCCCCTATTCACTTCTGTAACGATCAATAATTTTCTTCAATCAAAAACCATCTAAAGGCACATCTCTTCAGCTCGACATTTAACCACCGAGTCTCCCTGGAACCGCGCGACGCCATCTCACTCTGAGTTCGGCTGCGCGCCTAAGAATTGCATCTAAGATCCGTAACATTGCGTGTGTTATAAATTGTATTATCTCCACCGCGGCTGCCATCTGACCAAAGATAACTCGGAATAGAAGAGGAGGATGCAGCTCAACATTGTATTTCCCAGATGCAGGATGGCCCTCTCAAGGTCCTCGGACAGCAGTCTCCCCTGGGCTATTCCCAGGCTCCCCTCTGCCTGGGCTATCTGGGGCTCAGAAGCCTCCTCCCAGTCGTCAAATTCCAAGTCAGAGAGTCTTCCTGGCTCATCTGCCTCCAGGAGTGGGCTGGGCCCTTTTATTGACCACTTTCAGTCTTCTGGCCCTGGATTCTCAATCGCTGCAGCCCATAGCTGCATTTTGCACTCAGATGTGCCTTCTGTTCCTGTAGAACTGCACCATTGGGTATCACCTTGGTGATGCAGGCAGGGATTGCCCTATGGCTAAAGACCGTCTTTGTCTCCCCGGATCTCCCAAGAGAGTGGCAAGTACTGTCACTGGTTCCAGGGGGCTCCTTGGAAGCTATGCGAGGTCGCAGTAATCTACCATGGGTCCAAATGCATGAATAGCGCGACCCGTTCCGTCGGGCCACTCCCACGTGGGCCTGTGGCCACTGAAGTTCTCCGTTCTGCCAGCGTCTGCCAGTGCAAATCAATTCCTGCCACCTGACACAATATTCCAATTCTTGGACTGTTCAGGTAGAATCTGAACAATCCTATAAGTCCTGCACGGTGCAGCCACCTGACCCCACCGCTCTGCCCCTTCCATCCATTGCCATGTCTGCTGCTCGCCCCACACGTCACCATTGACTACGTACGGTGCGAAAGAAGTTCAACATAAACGCATCCCGGCCGAGGTTTACGGGCGCCATCCACCAGGCTCAACTATGCCTGTCAACAGTGTTCCAATCCCCGATCTGTGGAGCATCAACAATGCATTGCACAGACACGCGGGCAAATGGCTGCAGCAATGCCAGCCACAGCTCTGCGAAGGAACAAGGCCAATGCCCTCCCTGTCAATGTCATTCCGCGTCTTCACGCAAACTTTAAGCGGCGCTTCACCGGATCTGCACAAATCACGGAAATGGGGATGCCTACAACACAAGTGGAAAATAAGAAAGATTGTTTTCTATCTTGTGCGCAACTACGCCACAAACTTCACAATATGCAGCATGTAACTTCAAACTGCCCCAAATACGCATGTGGGTGAGTGGATGGTAAGTGAGTTTGTGAGTAGATGGGTAAGTTGGTGGGTGAGTGGGTGAATGAGTGGGTGGGTGGATCAGTAAGTGGGTTGGGTGAGTGGGTGAGTGAATGGGTGAATGAGTGGGTGAGTGAATAAATTGGGTGAATGGATTGAGTTAGTAGGTGAGTTGACGGGTGAGTGGATGAGTGGGTGGGTGAGTGGGTGAATGGGTGAGTAGTTGGATCGGTTAGTGGGTGAATGGATGGGTCGATGAGTAAATTGGGTGAGTGGATTGGGTGAGTGGGTTCAGTGAGTGAATTACATAGGTGAGTGGATGGGTGAGTGGGCAAGTGGGTGGGCCACCTAGCTCGTAACACACACGCATGCGGCTACTCACATCATTATTATTACTACCACTTCACTCAATTTCATGTACGGTGTGAAAGAAGTTCAACATAGATACAGTTCCGTTCTGATGAAGAACTGCACCACAACCTCGCACTGACACTGCGAAGAGCCGATACGGTACGAGCCCCACACAAAACACCCGGCCGCAAGTTGCAGTCCACAGACGCCACAACACTGATGCC